GCATAAAATGGGTATCGAATCGATGCAGCTCGTCACGGGGAGTTCAATGGTGGTCTTTGTTTTGCCGTACGAGAATCGCTAAAAATTGAGTTAAAAAATTTGACGTCATCATTTTTGAACGTTTTTTTCGCTATAACTTGGCCAAAAAACGAGATATCGATCTGAAATTTGGTATGTATATAGAAGAGCGCAGGGACTATCACATATATTCCGGTTTTTTTCGAAATTCGGAAAAATTTTGGATTTTTTTAGTTTTTCTAAAAAAATCAACTTTTTGATTTTTTTGGGGTCAAAAACCCAAAATTTTGAAAATCCGAGATAGCAGTTTTGTAGCGCCGCTTTTTGTCTACTAGACCATATAAAGAACTTTGAAATTGCTTGATAACTGTAGATTTGGTGAGCGTTTCAAGATTGCATGTTTTTTGCTCATTTTTGCTCGAACATGACCTCAGTTTGACCTCAATAACTCCTGACCTAAGGTGACCTAAGACTTGAAATTTGGTGTGAAGGTGTCAAATTGATGCCCGGGAAGGTACTGAAAATTTGGCGGCGCTGCGCGCCGCCTTTTTCTTGCTATTCAGGAAAAACCACAGGGGGGGCCAAAATGGCCCCCCCCCCAACGGGGCGAGGGTTAAAGCTTATTCTTCTTGCACCAGGTGGCAGCACTTTTTTTCCAAAATCAGTGCTTGTATTTCCAAAATCGTGGTTTCCTCACTGAGGAGTGAAATAGGCTTCATCATTGCCAAAAATAGCTGATAGCGTTGTCATTTTTGGCACATGGTTGCCAAAATGGGCATGTGCTAAAAATGACAACGATTGACCAAACCTCCCCCGACTGACATGGATGGACATTTAAGTCAGTGGTAAATAAATGAGGCAAACTTCATAATGTTAAATGCGCCTCTATAGCACCCAGAAATGTATTTGAATATTTAAACCAAACTGCTAACTAGAAAAAGTTGCTGTTTTGGCCACCTGACTTTCAGCCAGTTTCTGCCAGTTTTTGCCACCAGGGTTTCTGCCAGTCAGTTTAAACCGGCAAAAACCACTGGCAAAAACCAGTTATTGCCACCCCTGCCAACCCTGCCCTGAATTCATTGGTGGCTTTCCCGACTCGCTAGCTCAATTTGATCACGAGCTATTGACGAAAAACTCTTATGACCCTAGTGACGTGACGTCACGCAAGGTCAACAATGCAAAAGTGAAACATCCAAACTTGCAAGAAGTGCAAGAAATCACGACTCCGTGTGGTTGAGATAGTTTGAGATCATTCCCGGCGCCAAAATAGCAGTTTTCATTTTTCTCATTGACTTATCACGGTGAGGTCACGTGACCGACCTGACCTCATGTGACGTTTAGGAAAAATCCGAGATATACAAGTTGTGAGACCTCTAGAGGATACTAAGTCCTGAAGTTTCATCTCCCTGTGACATCTCCTCTGGCAGTGAGGGCGTTGCGAAGTTCCGACATCTGAAGACCGTGCAGAGGTTTACTTTGACGTCATAGGCCGGTGACCTGACCCGACACGAAAATGCGGTTGGTGTCAAAAGATCCGGCTTGAATCAAAGGTCAGGTATGCCAAATTTGAGCTCTATCGCCAGCGTGTTCGGATCTATCACAAAAAACGATGGAGGGGGGGGGGCACCCCCTCTCGGCCGGTGAGGGTTGAACCAGGTCAAAGGTCAGGTCACCAGAGGTCACTAAAAGTCAAATTTCGCCTGTATCTCGGGAGCGAATGAGCTACGGCACTGCACAAACGCGCATTAGAAAGCCCCTTTAACGTTTCTTTTTTCTTCTGAATGTTCTCAGATTTGACCGGAGTCAACGGTGAAGCTCACAGAGCAAAAGCTGCCTAATGGTGGGTAGGGTAAGGGCGGGTAAGAGGACGCGGGCGATAAGAGTACGCATCAGCTGTTTCGGTTGCCTAGCAACGCGGGTTTGTCGAGATCATGAAGTGACATGAAGCCGCCAGTACGCGTTTGTCACCAACGGAACGTGGACGTTGTGCGGCGACGCTGTTGAGTTTAAGGTGATGAATATTATTTTGGAGCGTTATGATATTATTATGGTATGGTACAATAATTTTGATACTTGGCAGTTGAGATAAGGTACATTTTCGTGATTGTTGTCGGAAACTTATGAGGTTTTCTGGTGAAATACTGTGCAGTGCAATTTTCTGTTTGTGAAGTTTTACACAATGTTTCGGGGTTGTTTTGTGCGCGAATTGCATGTAGGGTAAGAGTACGCAGAATTATACATTATATCGAATATACAGAAAAATCAAATTATTGATATATCGCTCAATGACGTTTGTTTTGTAGGTATATCATCAATGGAGCACTGTGAGGCAGATGCGTACCCGAAATTCTTCTAAATACGATTTATTCTCCCTTTTGATTGTACATTTTAGAATCACATGACTTGATTATTGCTTGATTTATAGATATGCAAGATTTATTTCATGTTTTTTTTTCTTTTTTGATACTAGAATTAAATTAAATGTTTTCTGAGTTTGATATTAAGCATTTGGACAGTAAAAGCTGCCTATAGGTGTGTTTATATGCTTGCGTACTCCACCCGCATGGTGTGCGTACTCTTACACACCCCATGTGGTAAGAGTACGCAACAGCAGCGGTTCAGAAAACGTCAGTTTTAGACCACTTCCATTTACGCTGAAGGATCGTTGCCTCATGGGTTGATGGCGAATTCAATGAACTTCAATATTCCATATTTGCGATTTCTTTCCTTCAAATATTTAACAAATGAGAGCAAAAAGTCCACTAAGTGCGTACTCTTACACGACTTCACCCTATGTTTACTACAAAGCGTATAACTTAGATATTTTTGAAGATGACGGGCTAAAACTTCAAAATTTTGAAAATCCGGGGTAGCAGTTTGATAGCCCTGTGTATTTTGAGAGCTCTAATGCAAAGAAGTTGGATCTAGCTTAAAAACTAAACTCTTGAGATTGCCGTATAGTTCGTTTTCCAAGTTCGACCCTCACTGTAATCGTCTCTTTGAACACAGCACGAAAATTGCTAGCTGAATTACTGAGAAAACTGACTGGCGCACATTGATTTCACAGACGATCAATTTTACTCAAAATTATTTCTTCTTGGGTCTTATTTTCAGACTCCTAGCTCGTATTTGCCTTTATATACAACCCCCAGGGAAAGACGTCTTGTCAGAAATTATAACTGAACTATAGTTCGTTTATTTTAAGTTTGCCCCTCACTGTAATCGTCTTTTTGAACACAGCACGAGAATTAGGTACTATAGTTCGTTTTTTTCAAAAGGACGCTGGCTCCAAGTTCCATATCGAAGCTCTCACGTGAGTTTTGGCAGCTTCAGCGTCTGGCCAAGAATTTCTTACCGAAAAAAATATTCGATTTCAAATTGTGCACGGCAAGTACCTGGAAATTGTGTCTTGAAAAATTACCATACTATGATTACGTTATTGGTGGCAGCAGGCACTCAATGTCCGTACGATGGGACAAAGTTTCGACGAATTTGGGGGAAACTTCGTTTTTCACTGTTGCCGAGGTTATAATCGAGTAAGCGGTTTCGTCCATGATAGTTATACGCTACATTGCAAAACAAGTTCGACAGCATGACGTCACCATTGTTCTCAAATCTGGTTCCAAAACGCACGGATGGAAATTATCGGGAATAATTCACATGTTAAAATAAGGCGACGTTCGAGTTTCTCAAGTTCAGTTTTTGCTCATTTTGCTCGCTAAAACGCGTGCTTTTTCGAAAAACATACTTGGAGCCAGAGTCCTTTTGAAAAAAAAACTTATAGCTGAATTACTGAGAAAACTGGTTGGCGCACATTGATTTCACCAAATTTCACAGACGATCAATTTCATCAAATCTATGTATTGCTTTACAGACTCATAACTCGTAGGTTGCCCATCCTGTAACAGCCCCCGACAGTAATAGTCGACTTCTCAGGAATTATGTCTGAGCTAATCAATAAATTGCACGGCGTTTAACATTAACGTTACATCGTCGGTGTTCAAAGCTTATTTTGAAAATATTATTCATATCTCCAATACAATGTGCGCCATCCAGTTTTTTTTCAGTAATTCAGCTAGCAATTCTCGTGCTGTGTTCAAAGAGACGTTTAGAGTGAGGGGCAAACTTAAAATAAACGAACTATAATCAATAAATCGCACGTCGTTTAACAGAAGGGTATATCATCGGTGTTAAAAAACTTATTTGGAAAATATTAGCCGTTTTCACGACGGCCATCTGGTACACATTTGGTGCACATCTGGTACAGATTAGGTGCAGATCTGGTCAAATCAGGTTCAGTGCGTCTCTTAGCAGCTATCAGCTAGGGTTGCACTAATTGCTTATATGCCTGCTTTGTCATATTATCAGAGAGCATCATCGATTAAAACACTGAAATGAATTCATAAAATGAAGAAATTTGCTGTAAAAGAAATTAGGTGCAGATTTGGTCAAATCAGGTGCATTCGCCGGATAGCCCGTCGTGAAAACGGCTATTATTCATATCTCCAGTACAATGTGCGCTAACCAGTTTTTTAAGTAATTCAGCTAGCAATTCCCGTACTTTGTTCAAAAAGATGTTTACAGTGAGGGTCGAACTTAGAAAAAAGCGAACTATAGTTCAATGTTTCGCATCAAAATCGGCCGAACATGACGTTACTCTGACGTCATTTCCGGCCGATCTATGGCAGCTACGAAATTTTTGTTAGGTCACAAGATGTCAAATTGATGCAGCTGAAGGTACTGAAAGTTTCGTGTTGATACGTCCAGTGGTTTAGAAGATATTGCAGAAAAACGACGACGGGGGGGGGGGGGGGGCGGCTAAACATAGCCCTCCCGGTGGGGCGCAAGTTAACGAAAGAACTATCGACATGTACACTTCAAATTGTACCGAGACGATAACCGCGCACTAACTGGACACAAATTATGATTAGTTTGCATTAGGTATCCAAATTCAGAGCGGGGACCGCTCAGCGCCGCCGCACCTCGAAGATGGCGTCGTTGGCGTTGCGCTGAGCGCGGCTGCCGTCCACCTCCACGTTCAGCGAGTCCTTGCTTTTCTCGAGCAGGCGCATGGCCTCGTTGACGTCTTCCTTTTCGACGGCGTCGACCAGGCGGAGCCGGGCCAGCGCTGTCGACAGCCGCAGGATGGCCAGCAGGTTGCGCGCCGATGTGAACGTCCTGTCCTGGCTGTTGCGGGCCTCCCGGCGCAGCTCCACGTACGCACCTGCCACCAAACGCGCCGTGCGCGGCACCAGCACCGTCAGCCAACCGACAACCAGCACCGTCAGCCAACCGACAACCAGCACCGTCAGCCAACCGACAACCAGCACCGTCAGCCAACCGACACCCCGACAACCGGACGGCGACCGCAACGCCCTATAGATCATCACTTAAATAAAACGTTTAGTAGGTACGTAAAATTGGCATGCCGAGAGAAATCGCATGATGACCCAAAACTATCGAACTAGCAAACTACGTGACCAGTAAGAGTTGCGGCTATTTCCCAGGCGAGCAATGGGGTTGGGAACTTGATTTTTTAAGAATGTATAGAAATGATCAAACTATTTTCGCAGAATTTATGGTGCATACAATGTCCTCAGAAAATCAATATGCTGAGAGCAATGGGGGAAGACAGATAGAAAACATATTTTTTAAGTTCTTGAAAAAGAATCTCTTCATGCTGTTACGTCACATGTCACCTTCTGCGGTTGACAATAACGGCGCATCTGGCGCACCACCGATTACATGTTATATCTATATGTGAAAGAGGTTGTTTGTTTCCATTTCCATTCGCGCTGTTTTTAGCTTTAACCCGCGCACCGACGGGGGTCTGCGCCAACTTAGAACCGATGGGGGGGGGGGGCGGATGACCGCCCCCCCCCCCCTGAGATCTCGAGAACGAAGCAAGATAGCGACAAGCGGTAAACGACATGGGGTACGCACGGACAAGGTCTACAATTTTTACACAGGTCATTTTCAGGTCAGGTCAAAGATGACGTAACAGGGGTCAAATAAGTCAAAATGGCGGCGCTAGATATGGAGAGAATTTTTCTCGAATAACTTTCGAATTGGTCAAGCTAGGAACAAACTAAGAGCACCATCGAGATCCTCTCGCCAATCCCCATCGAACCATATATATGTTGACCTCGAAAGGTCAAGGTCAAAGGTTGACCTCAGGTCACGTGACATCGAGGTCATCATGTATATCATTTGATGCGCCTTGACGAGCCGAACACAATGAGACCATCCGCGCGGCTGCATCTTGTTCCTTTAAGGAGTTATTGGCAAAAAAACCTTGGTGACCTTTGATGACGTCACATGACCTTACAGATGCCCAACAGCAAAACAGGCCTCCAGGTAGAGAAGGTTGATCGTATATGAAGTCATGTATGGTATATGGGACCATTCTGACGCGTTTTAGTGGAAAACAGGGAGTTGATTCCCCCCCCCCCCCCATTGACTTATAATGGGGAGGTCGAGAAATTGACCTGACCTTAGGTCATCGATATGAAAATTCCGAGATATACGAATTGTAGCTACCAATGACCTAATAACATCCTCCGACTTTCAGTGGACTCCGTCATCTACTGTAGCTCTGGCACGGTGACAAAGTTGCAAAAAAGTGACTTGAGGTTGGGTCATTCAAAGTGACTTGGTGACCTGACCTTAAAAGTTAGGAGGTTCAAACTTGCACACCATATGTAAAATTGATGAGAGAATAGTCATACCAAATTTCGCGCCGCGGTTTACGCGCCGCGGTTTTCCCGCTATTCGCGAAAAACCTCGGGGGCGGGGGCGGATAACCGGGGGGGGGCTGATTTAGCCCCCCCCGTCGGTGCGCGGGTTAAATTATGCTTAAGCATCCACGGGTGAAAGGTTCAGTGTGAAAAACTGATGCGTCTGCCGTATACGGTTCCCATTGAACATTGAGCGCGTGGTAAACATTCTGTGTGCCTCGAATTTTCAAATGAAAACATGATGAATCGAACTACCAACAATCACAATCAGGGGGCTGTCATCCCGAGCTTTCCTATTTGCCGGGCACCCGGATCTTTAACATTACCCGTGACGTCAGCGGAGCGGACACTTCTCAGCTGGCCTTCCCCGCAAATTTGGCCTTGAATTCGATTTTGAGGGTCACGGACTCACGGTTGTAAACAAGTTCATTTCCTGTTTCTTGCTTGTGTTGTACCTTGGTTGTACCCTCGAGTTGATTGTTTGAAACCATTGAAACTTAAATTGATTGAATGATTCAGGACTTGATTCAGGATGTCGTACTGTGCGGTGGCTGCATGCCGAAGTTACCGAAGGACTGGCAAGTTCTACACAAAATCGTTTTTTTCGGTTCCCGAAGGATCCAGCCACATGTGCGACCTGGGTGCATAGATGTTCGAGGCAGGATCCTATAAATGTGTTGCAGGCAAGGATTTGCTCAGACCACTTTCTTGATTCAGATTATGATCCTTCCTACCTTGTGAAAGCATCCCTGATGCCAGGTGTGAGCCCATGTCTGAAGACTGATGCGGTTCCAACACAGAATCTGCGCAGTGCTGGGTCTTCGGGGTATGTATTTCATTTTAATGGATTTGATATGAATGCCAACTATTCAGTTGGTAATGTACTAATTCGAATCTTTCTTATTGTGATGGAAATTGTAACAAATTTATATTTGCTTTTGGATTTGCACTGTGACTGTGTGCGCTTGTCAGATATGTACCATGACACATTAATTTGTAAATTAGGTTGCTAGTAAGCAGGTAGGTACCAAGTTAGGTACCGCTACCGACATATTTGCATGATACTTGAAACATTTTGCATATCAATATAATATGTGCATCAGTCACCAATGATCAAAGCAGCTCACTGAAGTTGTGCCCTATTTGAATGTTGATGTAAATGGTGTTTTCACAGACCGGCGCAACAAAGCACTCGGGCTTCAAGGAGTGATCGCCGACAGATGAAGTCCCTTGCGCAGGACATCATCAACACTGAGGGAGCGTCCTCATCTCTGAGTGATAGATCAAGGTGAGGAGATAATTGAATTTGATATTTTCTTTGTTGGGTGCTTGAACTGTCAATACAAGGGCCCTGTTTCACCAGTGATAGCAGCACGCTGCTATTACACGTGTCAAATTGGGTTTCCATGTAAACATCAACAAAGCATGACTCAGTCAATCTGTGTGATGTCATCAAATATTGCTGCTAGCATCTTCACGGCCATGCGATCAAACAAATGTATCAAACGCAATTCAACGAGACAGCAACTCTGGTCCAAACGAAGCTCACGGATTGCACGAAACGTCATTAGTGTGACCTCATCACATTACGTCAGCTCGTGCAATTTGATAGTAGGTAGCGTGCTGCTATCACCGGTGAAACAGGGCCAAGGGTTCCAGCAATCAGTAGTTTTGATAGAGACTGAATACACTCAGATGCTAGCTTTGAGAATGATGTTGCAATCAGACTCAGACTAAGCTTACCTCTGAATCACTTGAGTGGAAACTGTGGGCAAGGCTCTAAACCTGGGCCCTGTTTCACCGGTGATAGCAGCACGCGGCTATCAAATTGCGCGAGCTGACGTAATGTTCACGTTAGCTGACGCTAGCTGACATTAGCTCACAGTTGTGCAACTCTGAACTTATATTTATTCTATTGCTTTACATTACTCTGAAGAAGACTATTCCTTAACCTTCCAGGCAGCGGGAGTGGGGGGCATTTTCTTACATGGCCATAGTAAAATTGAGTTCATATTGTTTTGACTCTTGGTGACCTGACCTGTGACCTGAGGTGGTATTATCAGTGACCTCTCATAGCAATATATGCACTAGGAAACTGGCGCCCTATCGCTGATTTTCGATTAAATGCATTTTACTTGATGTTATATTGCATTCCCAAGAAGACCCGTGAACAGTAAAACATTTTATTTTTGACCTGACCTGTGACATCATCGGTAACCCCAAGGTCAATAAAATTGGATTTCCCCCGAAAAATTAGACAGGGCTATAGAACGCTGTTTGATTTTGCAGATCCATCCAGTAGTTTCGGAGATATGGGGGAGGCAAAAAAGTCCCACCCCCGCTCGTAAGGTGGCCCGGAGGCCCACCGCCTGCCGGGTCAATTATTAATTTTCAGCTTAACCGTGATGATAATTCACCCTGAAAATGAAGCTCGCTGTTCATTTTTTTATTTCAGATGCAAGAAAATACTAATGCTCTATTTCCTTCCCACAGATCTATCTCACTGGATGCTTCGAACCAGATGGAGTGGTCTCCTGCAGCTACGGATTTGCCGGCTGGCGAGGTCCAGTATCTGTCTCCCCTGGAGGAAGTGCAGAAGTTGAGCCAGCAAAATCGGCGTTTGAAGCTGCGCATGGAGAAACAGAAGCGGCAGTGGCGGCAAGAGAGACAGATGCTTCTGCGGAAGCTGCGAGTGGCTGAGCGGAAGGCGCACAAGCTCCAGAAACTGCTCAGATTGGGAGTCGTCACGGAAAAGCAGGTCTCGACTGTCCAGTCGGGTCACAGAGTGCAGTGGACAGCAGAGGACATCTCTCGGGCACTTGGACTGCGGTGCAGGAGCCGAAAGGCCTACGAGTATGTGCAACAAGTGATGCATTTGCCTCTTCCTTCCGCTGCGACCCTGTCTCGCTGGATCCGCGGCTTCCGCGTGACGCCCGGAGTAATAGAGGCAGCTCTCGCCGTACTGAGGGCAGCAGTCCAAGGTATGGGCGCCTTGGAGCGTCTATGTGTAGTGTCCTTCGACGAGATGGCACTGAGCAGCCGATACTGCTACGACGCATCAGCCGATCAAATCCTTCAAGGATCTAAACTGCAGCTTCTGATGGTTCGTGGACTCTGTGCTGCATGGAAGCAGCCACTATTCTACGAGATCGACTCTCCTATGACTAATCAGAAGCTGAACAGCGTCATCTCCGTGCTGGAGTCGCTGGGTCTGAGGGTGACAGCGGTCGTCAGCGACATGGGCGGAGCAAACGAGGGGATGTGGCGCTCCTCCGGCATCTGCGCCGACCGGACGTGGATCATCAACCCCGTGGACGATACCAGGTATTTCATTAGTGCCAACTTGAATCTCCTCTGTAGATCCAGAATCAATTTTGGCTTGTATTGCAATAACAATGTTAAACAGTTACAATTGTCGTAGTTTATTACGAAAATTATTTTTATGATGCATGAAAATGTAGTAGCTTCGTGATCAATAAGCCATTTA